TAAACTCACCCCAAAAACTAATTAATCCTGTAAACAGCAAAATATTCCCCAAATACTACCAACTCAACCCAAAAACCAATTAATTAGATAAACACAGCAAATTTTCCCAAAAGCTAATTAAACAGGCAATCAGAGTAGAAACTCCCCCCAAATATCACTGGTTGAGCACAAAATTTGACAAATAATCAACAATTAACCACAGATATATCACAGTACCCAAACAAGCACAAAATTTCTGTCCAACTAGTAAGTCAACAACCTGGCTTCAGTTAAGAAATTGAAATCTGGCATCAGCTAATAAAAGCTAATAATCTGGCCTCAACTAATAAATGACAGAAAATTAAAGAAGAAATCACCGTAGGGGTTTTGGCAACAACAGCAGGTATAGTGGAAAAGGCAGAAGCGACGCGCGTGGGGTCCACACGCGTGGGCTAAGGCGCAGAAGGGCGCTCGGCTGCTGCTGCTACTTGCTGGGCCTGTCTGGTGAAGTCGTTGAGGAAGAGCAGAAGAGATCGCGCGCCTGCTGGGCTTGGCTGGAGGCACGAGCTGCTGGCGTGGAGTGCACGGAGGGCACCCGTGGCGCGCGGGCTTGGCCTGGATTTGCTGCGCGCTGGGCTCGGGCTGAATGGCATGCTGGAGCTGAGCAGAGGCTGGTCGCATGCGAGGGGAGATTGGTGGGGACGCGCGAGGGGGGTTCGCGCGCAGAGGGCAGAGGCGCCTGGTGCAAGCTGTGCGAGCGCGGGACTGGTGAGCGCCAGTGGCGGTCCGCTCGGGGCTCTGCTGGAGCGCTTGGCTCGCGTCTGCTGTGGATGGGCTTGGGCGCAGAGGAAGGCAGGCGCGCAGCAGCGCGCCTGGTTGTTGCTGGTGCTGCTAGGCAGCTGCTGCTAGCGCTACTGGCAGTAGCGGACAGCGCGCGGCGACGTCAAGAAAGCAAAGGAGGAAAAGGAAAAGGAGTGGGCGGCGGTGGATGTGCAAGTCGCGGCGGCGGTAGAACAAGAGAAAAGGGAAGAAGAAAAAGAAGGAAAAGAAGGAAGAAGAAGAAAGAAAAAAAAAGGAAAAGGAAGAAGAAGAAGACAAATAGGGCTACGGACTTTTGAAAAAAAAAATTTCTCTCTTTTTTCTTTTTTTTGTAAGGGTAATTTCGTCTTTTTGTCCCCTCCCCCCTTTTTTTTTTAATCTTTGTAGAAAAGTTCCTCTCACTTATGTTTTTTTTTCTCTCTCTCTCTCTCTTTTTCTTGCTTTTAAATTGAGGGCAATCTCGTCTGTTGCATTCTTTCCTTTTTCTTTTCCTTTTATTTTGTTAAATATAGACAACAAAGAACCTGGGTCTTAGGCGTAGGCACGCCTAACCGCCCTCTAGTCTTCTGACCATCCGTCAAAATTTTTTGATCCTCAAGCGTGACCACCTGGCGTGGGCATACTTAACTGCTATAGAGTCTTCTGACCAATCTCCAGAAATTGAGTTCCCTAAGCGTGACCACCTGGCGTGGGCACGCTTAACTACTGTAGAGTCTTCTGACTGCGGACGAAAACTTTCTTCCCTTAGGCATGACCAACTGGCGTGGGCACGTCTAATTGTCAATTTCCTGCCACCAAATATCAAACTATTAAATGACACTAACCCTTAACTAAAACTTCAAAAAATGTACGAAAACTGAAACAAATATTCTTGGGTTGTCTCCCAAGTAGCGCCTTTCTTTAATGTCTTTATTTAGACACAGCCGAAACTCTCAAACAAGATAAAATGGATCCTGGAGGTGTACAATATCTACTTCTTCAACATAGAATCCTTCATAATACGGCTTGAGACGATGACCATTCACCACGAACTTCTTCTCCGTTTTCAAACTTTGGATCTCCACTGCACCATAATGAAACACATTAGAAACGACAAATGGACCAATCCAACGAGAACGTAACTTACCAGGAAAGAATTTAAGTCTCGAGTGATACAAGAGGACTTTTTGCCCCACTACAAAAGACTTCCTTGCAACTTGCTGATCATAGAAGATTTTACTCTTTTCCTTATAGATCGTGGCATTCTCATATGCTTCATTCCTTATCTCCTCCAACTCCTGTAGTTGCAATTTCTGTTGAACTCCCGTCTCTTCAAGACCCGTGTTACACTGCTTTACTGCCAAGAACGCCTTGTGTTCGAACTCTACAGGGAGATGACAAGCCTTACCAAAGACAAGTCTGTACAGGGACATCCCAATAGGTGTCTTATATGCGATTCTGTACACCCATAGTGTGTTTTCTAACTTTAAACTCCAATCCTTCCTATCTGGGCGTACCATCTTCTCCAAGATTGATTTGATCTCCCTGTTTGACATTTCGGCTTGCCCATTTGTCTGCGGGTGATACGGCGCTGATACCTTGTGAAGCATGTCATATTTTCGAAACAAGGCAGCGATGGTCTTATTACAAAAATGTGTCCCCCTATCACTTACCACAGCTCTTGGCATTTCAAAGCGGACAAAAATATTAGATTTTAAGAACTCTGCAATCACTCTAGAATCATTAGTACGGGTGGTTTTGGCTTCCACCCATTTAGAGACATAATCAACTGCAAGTAAAATGTATAGGAAACCAAAAGATGAGAGAAAAGTACTCATAAAATCTATCCCCCAAACATAAAAAATTTCAACAAATAACATGGGGGCTTGAAGCATTTGATCCTTACGAAAAATATTTTTCACCCTTTGACACCTATCACAGAATTTGCAAAATAAGTACGAATCTTTAAAAAGGGTGGGCTAGTAAAAATCACTCTCTAACACTTTGCGAGCTATTCGCTTGAGTCCAAAATGCCCTCCACAAGCAAACGAATGACAGAAATTTAAAATAGAGTGAAATTCACCTGTACTTACACACTTTCTTAGCACTTGATCCGAACATTGTCTCCAAAGGTAGGGGTCGTCCCAAATGTAGTATTTGGCATCACTCTTCAATTTATCTCTCCTAACATTTGGCCACCCTGCAGGCAATTGATTAGTCACTAAAAAATTTACTATATCGGCGTACCAGGGTGTAGACGAATCAACGGCAAGAAGTTGCTCCTCTGGGAATGTCTCCCTCAATGGTTGTTCTTCCTTATGTGTCAGCAAACGGCTCAAATGATTGGCAACCAAATTCTCTACCCCACTTTTATCTTTTATCTCCAAGTTGAACTCTTGCAGGAGTAGGATCCATCTGATAAGTCTCGATTTTGCATCCTTCTTTGTCATCAAATATCTCAAGACTGCATGATCAGAGAAAATTGTTACTTTTGCACCTAACAAATAAGGTCTAAATTTTTCTAATGCAAAAACCACAGTTAGTAATTCTTTCTCTGTTGTAGAATAGTTGAGTTGACCTCCATTCAACGCATTTGATGCATAATAGACTGCATGAGCCGCCCTGCCAATTCTTTGCCCCAACACAGCTCCCACTGCGTAGTCACTCGCGTCACACATAATTTCAAATGGGAGGCTCCAGTCTGGAGGTTGAATGACGGGCGGTGATGTTAACGACTCCTTCAATTTGTCAAATGCCATCTTGCACTCCTCGGTGAAGTCAAATGTTACATCCTTCTACAACAGTTTGAACAGGGGCACTCTAATTTTGGAGAAATCTTTGATGAATCTCCTGTAGAACCCTGCATGACCAAAAAAGGAGCGTACTTTTCGTACACTTACGGGGTAAGGTAAAGCAGAAATAATATCGACTTTTGCTTCATCTATTTCTATTCTCCTAGTCGACACTACATGCCCTAAGACAATACCATACTCCACCATAAAATGATATTTTTTTCAATTAAGTACCAAATTTGTTTCTATGCATCTTTTTAAAATCAAATCTAAGTTATCAAGGCATTCATCAAAACTATCCCCATACACACTAAAATCATCCATAAATACCTCAGTAATCTTTTCTACATACTCATAAAATATACTTACCATATACCTCTGAAAAGTCGCCGGAGCATTGCAAAGGTCGAAAGGCATCCTCCGATAGGCAAACGCGCCAAATGGGCAGGTGAATGTAGTTTTCTCCTGGTCCTTCGGTACTATCGCGATCTGGAAATAATCCGAAAAATCATCAAAAAACAGTAATAGACACGACCAGCTAACATTTCTATCATCTGATCAATAAATGGGAGAGGAAAGTGGTCCTTCTTTGTCACAGCATTCAGACTCCGGTAATCAATGCACTGACGCCATCCTGTGGGTTTCCTCACTGGGACTATCTCGCCCTCCTGGTTCTCTTTTACGGTTACTTCTGCCTTTTTCGGGACTATTTGGACTGGGCTCACCTACGGACTGTCTGAGATGGCGAAAATGATCCCCACTTCCAAGAGTTTAAATATTTCCTTCTTTATCACTTCCATCATTAGTGGGTTCAATCTCCGTTGCGCATGTCTTACCTATTTTCCATCATCTTCAAGCTGGATCTGATGCATGCATAAGGAGGGCTAACTCCCTTGATATCTGTTATGTTCCACCCAATCGCCTCCTTATGATTTCGAAGAAGACGAATCAGGTTGTCTTCTTGTCTTGGTGACAGATGTGCAGATATGATGACCGGCAGTGTCTCTTTGTCCCCGAGAAAAGCATACTTCAAATGCTTTGGGAGAGGCTTGAGCTCCAATTCAGGTGCGTGCACAATAGAATGCAACAATTTCGCCAGAATTTCTGGTACAAAAAGAGAAGTAAGCTCATATCTTGGAGAAATTGGTGGAAGCGAATGCAGTGCTTCAACTGCACGATATAACTCATCACTTAATCCTGCATCAGGAGTTGCTCCCAACTCGAGATACTTGGCTAATGCCACTGCCAGTGCATCGTCCCCATCCAATTCAAACGTTTTCTGCACAAGGGGCTCAATAACACTTAAAACAAAAATGGAGTTAGCCTCATCCAGGTACTTCATTGCATCAAAAATATTAAAATTTACAATTTCTCCATCAAACTCCATTGATAAGGTACCCTCATTTACATCTATTTTCGTCCTAGTAGTGCTTAAAATGGCCTACCTAACAAAATAGGTGACAGATGTAGTGCCCTTTCATCCCCCATGTCTAGGACATAGAAATCTGCAGGAAAAACTAACTCATTGACCTGTACCAAAATATTTTCAACTAACCCTTCTGGATAAGCATTGGTACGGTCTGCAAGTTGGATTATAATGCCTGTGCCTTTTAGTGGGCCAAGATTAAGAGAAGCATAAATTGTTTTAGGCATAACATTAATTGATACCCTCAAATCCAACATCGTTTTCCTAATTGGGGTACCTCCTATCTTGCAGGGAATGGTGAATATACCTAGGTCTCCACATTTTGGTAGGAGTTTCCTTTGAAGCATAGCTGATACATTTTCTCCCACCGCCACTCTTTCGTCACCCTTCAACTTCCTCTTGTGGGTGCACAAATCCTTCAAAAACTTGGCATACTTAGATATCTGCTTGATTGCATCCAGTAAGGGAATGTTAATCCCCATTTTTTGGAACACATCCAAAAGCTCTTTTTTCTTCTCTACTTTCTTTGTCTTCTCTAACCTGCAAGGAAAGGGGGGGTAAGTTAGATTTAATAGTGGGTGGAGAAGTGAAGGTTACCTTATGATCCTTGCGAATACGTCATTCCTCTTCAATTTTCTTTTCTATCTCCTTCTCACTTTTGCTTTTTGAATTTTCCACTTTAGCCCCTTCCAGTTCCTTGCCACTCCTTCAGTGTCATGACACTTACATTTTTGGGATTTATCTCGGGTTGAGATGGTAATTTTTCATGGACGTGGGACTGCAGGCGATTGATGGCAGTTCCCAATTGGCTTATTCGAGTATCCATATCTTTCATGTCTGCTCTGGTGTCCTGCTGGAACTGAGTGGTACTCATGGTTAAGGCTCTAGTTTCTTGCTGGAGTTGGGCCATATTCGTGGTCAATGACCTGGTCTCCTGCTGGAGCTGAGTAGTAGTCATGGCCAGACTCTTGACAATATCCTCCAGAGAGCTACCTGAATTGGCGGACGAAGGTTGAGGCTTTTGCTGCCATGGTTGCTGAAACCCTGGTGGACGATTTGAAAGTGAATTTGGTTGCCTGTTCCCATAACTAAGGTTGGGTGGTCCCTCCAACTCGGATTGTATGTATTGGAGTACGAGTTATACTGCCTGCGTGGCGCGAGCACGCTTCCTACCATGTTTACCTGTTTCGCCCCGTTCTCTTGTAAAAAGGGGCACGTGTCCGTGCAGTGGTCCATACTAGTGCAGATTTCACACACCTTCACTCGTGGTGTGTTCCCCATGGCTAATTGCCTAACAGCGGACGTCAACTCTGACAATTGTTGCTGAATGGATGACGTCTCTATCTCATTGACCCTACGAGTGGGGTTAATCTCACGGTAGTCAAACTACTGAGAGTTCTCTGCCATGACTTCAATAAGCTCCCACGCCTCCTTCGATGCCTTGTTCGTCAAGGTTCCTTCACTCGCAGCATCAATGATACTCCTGTCAGTTGACTGGAGCCCTTCATAGAAGTACTGGATCAATAGTTGCTCACTAATTTGATGTTGCAGACATCTAGTGCATAACTTGTTAAACCTTTCCCAATAGTCGTATAAGGACTCCCCGGAGTACTGCTTGAAGCTGCATATTTCCTTTCTCAAACTCGCAACCCGGGATACGGGGAAGAATTTTTCTAGAAATTTCTTTTTCAATTGTGCCCACGTGGTGATACTACCAGCAGGGAGATGGTATAGCCAATCCTTCGCTGCATCCTTGAGAGAAAAGGGGAAAGTTCTAAGTCTTATTTGCTCCTCAGTGACCCCAAGAGGTTTCATATTAGAGCAAACTATCTCGAACTCCTTGACATGTTTGTGGGGTTTTTCACCAGAAAGACCATGGAACGAATGTAGGAGGTGAATCAACCCCGACTTCAGCTCGAAAGCGGTATTCTCAGCCAAAGTGGGGAATGTGATGCACAAGGGCTGGTGAGTCAACTCCGGGGCAGCCAACTTCCTTAGTGATTGGGTGTTGGCCATGCTAAATTCGTCTTCTGCTGGCTCGTTTGCAGTAGATAAGTGCCCTTCTTTTCGTCTCTTGATCTCTTGCCTTCGCCCACGCGCTGCCTTCTTAACCTCAGGATCGTATACCAATTCACCTGTGCGAGAAGAATGGGGCATAAACTAGCAAAAATATCAAGAAGAAAAAGAAAAAAAACTGAACTCAAAAAGAAATAAATATTTCAAATGACAGTCCCCGACAACGGCGCCAAAAATTGACAGGTGCCGAACCTGTGCAATAATAATAAATAAAATCTAAGTACCACCTAAAGCAGTCAATAATCAATTCTAGTACTGAAGCAGGGACTCTAGGTGTGCAATGGGTTACTTGATTCACCCTGTTCCTGAAGAGTTTGCTTAATCCAATATACATGAATTAATTATTTAACTGAACTCACAAACAAATAGACAGTGGTAAGCATGGTCGTCTCCTCAGGGACTGGAGAAAAATTTATTTCTTACCAAGTCAAGATTAATGGGAGGTTTTGAGATTAAATGCTAATTAAACAAATTAAATGCAGAAAATAATTAAATAAAAGAAATAATTAAGAGAAACTCTAGCCAAGGGTATACTTCAGAAATGGTTCGTACACTGATCATCGATTCACAGATAATTCCAACATTTAGTAATAGATTAGTTATAGTTGTCATGCACGCGATAAACAACCAACCCTTCCTTAATTTCTCGATAGCCAAGGTACGACCGTTAGCTATTTTTTTAACTCATAAACAACCCTAGATACGACCGTAGAATTAAATTTTTAGATTGCATTAATAATTAGAAAGGTCCAATCCTAACCAACAAACACGCTACGAGAGTTCGTTTAAGTTAGATCATATGCTCCCCTGACATAAATCTGATTACGCCAGTTGCTACTAAGATAGAGATAACGAACAATTACGGATTCAATTACCCCTATTTAGCAAAAATAGCCTATATGGATAATTAATTATTGCGCACTAATCAATCATACACAAGTTCATAGCAATTAAAAGTAAGGAACATATAAATATCAATAAATGAAGAAAATAATTAAAAGCAGCTTATATCTCACAGTAGTTGTTGAACCAATTCGTCAATTGCCCCCTTGATTAGAATTAGGGATTTAGTTCCCCATAATTAATGTACAGGCCATGCGGACAAGGTTGGAAGAAGCCATCGATTCCTTAATCAAAGCGAACGAAAGAAATTGCCCCTCGTTAATTCCGGTCAACCGAAGAAAGAAAGGGGACAATCGATTATGGTGGTTTTCAATTGTTCTCCTAAGCTAACCGTATAGAGAGTGCACACTTTCAATTTTCTTCAGTCAAGGCCAGGGTGAAAAGCAATGTCAAAAGTCCACAGTTGCAGCTCCTCTTAGCTTTCTTTCTTTCCTCACAAGACATACGAGAGATTGGGTTTCAATCAATTGATTTCTCCAAATCAATTCACACAAGATAGAAAAGCCAGAATACAAAGTCAACAATTGCGGCCTTCTTGTCTCTTTTTTTCCCCGTTACAAAGCCACGGCCAGCCCCCTTTTTTTAAGAACAAAGGGAACGAAAAAGGAAGAAAACCTAAACCAGACAAGAGGTAAAAAAATTGTTTTCAGCCAGCCCGCTCTCTGGAGTCTAATACCTTCCCCTATCCGACCTTCCAGGAGGGGCTTTTTTTTTTCTCCTCTCGAGAAGTGGTCTTTTACAAAATTAAAACGAGACTCTCTAAAATAAAATAAAATAAAGTCTATTACAATCAAATTTTCTCAGCTTCTCAAGGGGGCCCCACGTGCGACAAATCTTCGAAATTTTGACTTTAAGTACTTTTTAGCATCAATTCCTGTAATTAGTATCAAAACAAAATATCAGTAGAATCCACCCAATTAATGAAAATATTTAGTCAGATAAACATGCATTAATGCCCAAAATACCCCGCTAAAACGCACCCTATCATTATTGCGGGAAAACTCAGCGTCAACGTTGGTGGACCGACAAGAAACAATGGGCACACTCGATGTCAATTTCGGTGATTTTTTTTTTGGTTTTATTGGAAAAATAAACGTTTATGTGGTTTTAGCTCAAGTTATCACTATGGCTCACGACATCCCCGATCAGTTACTGAACATCTATATATTGTACATTGTTCATTGTAAAATATGTAATCGAAAATAATTGCCTTGTTTGGCAGACAAGTTTTTCTGCTACAAGTTTTTTAAAAACTTTAATTATAGTAACTTCAAAAAAATTTTCAAAATTTTTAAATTATACACTTCAAAATATTCAAAAAAAAACACACTTCCAAAATTTTTTAAAAAACTTTTACAGTAAATTATAGTAAAGTTTTAGACAAACACCTAAAAAACTTATTTGCCAAACAGGGTCTAAGAGTGGTGCAAATTAGGAAGGATTTCCGCAACGAATGTTGTCTGTATTCGTTAACATACCGATATTTCACTCAATCTATCATATATATATATACACACACCAATAATAATTATTTTTTCTTACATTTATAAATTTTTTAAAATTAATCTCCTTATATATATTAATTAATTTTATATTTTTAAAATTTTAACACTTGAAATATATTTTAATGCATGCCCACAAGACACTCGCTAAACAAATCGAATTAGAAAATCACGGCCAAGTGAGTCAGGCAGGCAAATGATCTCATTCGTCTAAGTGTGTTGCTATTTGATCACATATAGGTCCCATTTGGCAAGTGAGTTTTTTGGATGTTTATCTAAAATTGTATTGTAATTTACTGTAGAAGTTGTAGAAAAAATTTTTGAAGTGTATAAACATATGGATATTTCGAAGTATATGGTTTAAAAAATTTGAGAAGTTTTTTAAAATTATTATAGTTAAAATTATTTAAAAACTTGTAGCAGATAAACTTGATAAAAAACTTGCTTAATATCTTCATATAACTGTGATTTTAGTGCATAATCTACGAAAATTTTCCTTTCCTATTCTATCTTTTGTCCCTGCTGACCTCGGGTCCTGACTGCCATTGTTCAACCTTCACTTTATTCAATTAGTACCCTCAAAATTAACTTCCAAGTTCCAGCAGGTGGAAAAATTTCTAAGATGGAATTTAGGTCCCCCACATTCAAAGGTTTATTACTACTACACACCCATAAATGTCATGCAATAATTTCACTCTGCTTCTATAGGCCCACCAAGTTCATTGAATTATTGTACTACTACCCAGCCAGGAAAGTCATGATCAATTTCACTCTAGTTTCTCCTCTAAGTAGTCCCATCTCCCTTGCTAAAAATCTTGCACTTGCAAAATAACTGGCCAAACAGTCCAATGCAAACTACATCTGATTAATTGTAACTCTCTAACTCAAGCAGTATGAACTAATCAACTCTGTACTAATATGAATGGAGAAACTTTTTCTTGTTGCGGTCAATTTTAAACAGCATATATAACTTTGCAATTAAGGCTAAAGATTAGACTGAAAAAAGAAATAGTGGGCATACTCAGTGTCTTGTCCATTAAATTTTTTTTGGTAAAATAAATATTTAAATGGTTTTAACGCTAATAACCACCACAAGTCAAGACACGTCCCAAAATCATACATTTAGGGATGGCAATGGGACAGGTTTGAGGTGGAGGAATCCTCACTCATCCCCCATCCCGACTAACCTCGTTACCCTCGCAGGTGCACCTGTCCTGCCCCAATGCCATTTTTAGTTTTTATTTAGTCTTATTTTTTCTCTTTATATATATATATATATATATATATAATGCTAGTAATAATTTTATTGATCATTCTTTTTAATTTTTAGCAAAAAATCCAGCAATCGCCGTGAAAAGTATGGATGTCAGGTTCTTTAAAGAAGCATCGATGTCCATGATGTTGAATTAGTGCTTATTGAGTTAGTTGTTGAAAAGGAACACAGCGAAATGACTCATTCTCTGAAAGCTTTCAATGG